ACATACACACATACACACATACACACACACACACACACACACACACACACACACACACATCAATGTACCTAAACTCTCTCAACGCCTGACATTGCAAACCATCGCAATAAGACTTCCAGTGTCTACAAAGTGGGAAATAATACATGTATTATAGATCCAGAGCAAGCCTTCTTAGCACATGAGCGTTCTTGTCTGGTTTAAATCACTATCACAGTCTCCATCGATATTGATGGACAGTTGAAGGATGAATCAACGTGTCTTACTCCCAGAGTCATTTTCTGACTCACAAAGAGCTGCAATTTTCTGACGATGTCCTTTAATGTTTCCGGTTAGCTCGGCCATTTTCCCAACAACTAATGTTTGGGTCCGCGACACACTGTCACTAATGACAACAAAGTCAGCCTCAATTCCTTTCGGAAGTCCGTACTGAGCAGACCGTAGATCAAAGGGTCAAGGATGTTGTTTAGGAAGAAACTGCGCATGAGCAGCTCGAAGGCGAGGTTCTGCGCCGAAGCGGCAAAGACTGTCATGTCGTGTGTGAATAAATAAAACATCACGCCGAAATGTGGGGCGTAACTGAGGAAATACGTCAGGGAGATAGCAATGACTACGCCCAGGACCCTGTAACTCGTTTGATTGACACCACTGGCTCCACCTGCTTTTTTTGGTGAGTTGGAGAGAGTAGATGATCTTGTAGGCGGAGCTTGAGGCAGACTGAGTGCTGTCACTCTCTTTGGCTGGAGCCTCTTTAGAGGTTGTTTTCGAGGTAGACGTGGAGTTGGTTGACTTCCAGTCTCTTCGATATTACTGTCTGCGTCAGAAATTTCGGTGACAGAAATCGATGACGATGAAGGCAAGTCGTCCTCAGGAAGTCTACTCAAAGTGTTAGCCCCGCCCACTCTCGCAAACAACGGCTGTTGACTTGAGCTCGACCCGTTTCTTATTCTTGTGAGAGGTGAGTGGATTCCTGCTGTGGCGGGCCGAAGACTTCTTGATGGCATTGGAGAACCTTCTGGAACCGGCCTAGATCGCGGAGGGGCCGGACTCAGCATAACCACGTTGTTTTTTCCTCGCATTGACACGAACACCCTGCGTCGATTCCACACGGTGTGCACAGCACGTATGTATAGACACGTATGCACGATGAATGTAATGATGTAGAGCGAGGCAAGGACCATGTAGAAGGCGAGAGGCCCAATGGTGTCCATGTACTGTTCCTCCACTGCACAGATTTCTGCTGTGATGTTCGCGTCTGTCACGAGTTTCCCCTCTCCAAACAGGATCGTGATAGGAAGAGAGACGCCCACAGCCATCAGCGAGCTCCCTAGGATGATATAGTTCGCAAGTCGAGGAGACAGCGTCCCTAGCAATGGTTTGTGAATGCCGTAGTAACGAACGAAGGCGATGGCCATCAACACAAGAGCGGAACCGGAAGCTGTGAAAGCCAGTTGGAAGCATGTGATCTTGCAGAGGTACTTTCGGCTTCCGCCGACCTCGAAGAAGGTCGCGATATCTAAGGGCATGTGCACGAGGGAGGCGATGAAGTCAAAGGCTGCCAGTGCTGCCATGAGAGAGTTGAACCCGCTGGGAGGGAACCGACGACTGAAGATGTAGAACGACAAGCCGTTGCCTAAGAGACCGAGGACGCTCGTGATGGCGATAATGATGGTGAGAGGAAGAAAAGTTTGCTCAACCGCTGTTATTAACGACGACATGGTGAAAGCAACAAACTTCGACTACAGTCTCAGGCCTGAACACGGGTCCTCCTCTACTGACACGACAATTTCAAGTACAGGAATAGTGTGCGTATACTGGGGATGACGAAGTTTGGGTCACAACAGTAGATCCATCATAATTTCTGTATCGTAGTTTATTTTCAACACTGTTACTTTTATAATAGAGTGCATTTTATTTGTTATTAAACATCAGAATGAAATCATGTGTCACGTTGCAAGAATTCCAGGGGAACTTTTTGAAAATATGAATTTAAAAAAAAACTAATGAAAAAAACAAGGAGTAAACAGGAAGTATTGTTCAGAAGAGAAAGGGGAAATGACAACGATCTTTTCTTTTTCAAGAGAGGACACAAATGATTCTTAAGTTATCCATAAGAAATAAAGCAGAGCTCACATACGAATCACAAAAAAGTGAAAACTATAAGATATCATCAGCAGGTAAATAGAGCAAAAGCAACGAATGGAATGGAACGGATCAGAATCTACGTAAAAGGCACCCCAGCTGTTTCGATCTGCATTCAATTCTTTCACATTTCATCAACCTTGAGTGAAAACTGTTGGCCTACAGAGATACGAATCGGTTTATTACAAAGACCAATCAAGGAGAACAAGATGACAGGTCGGGAAGCAGGATTAAAGTAGCGCCCATGGAACATTGCAACTGCGCGTTGGCTGTCTCATTCTCACTAATTGCTCACTCGGACAGATAACGCCTTTGTGAACTACGACGGGGGTCCACTCTGAGCACACCGCGAAAATGCTGAGTAAAGATCACACTTTCCCCGTCTGATCCATGAAACTTTGATGGTTATAGATCTAGGCCTAACAAGTTCAGTTTTCTCTCACAGAATTTTGCTCAATCAAATTGATGTTTGTCCCTCTGTACTTTCTTACTGACATGTATGTTTGTGAAACCTTTGAGCTAAAGCATGTCTCACAACGGGAAATTCAGAGGTACCCGAGGTAGAAGTTTATAAAGAAGATTACATCATTGTCTATTACGAATGAACTGGCCACATCAGCCACAACACTACGACTATAATAATTCATGCGTTTGTAGTATGTCCATCCTTTAGATAGAATCCTTAAGGAGGGTGCTGAGAGGAAGGCTGAGATCCACCTGGGAACCAGATCTGGAACAGATCTCAGACAGATGAGGCACAATTGCTAACTGGATGTAGAGAGGATCGCACAGAACAGAGACAGGTAGAGAGTCCTTCTTGGCGGCTTATATACACAGCACCAATGGTGAGAGAGACACAGAGGTGTTTATCCCCAGAATGGTTCTTTCATGAGTCTTTACTGCGAAGCTAGTTGACAAACACGGAAGCAGGGATTCTTCAAGGACAGCAGCTCTTTGTTTGTTGTAGGTTCATTGTCTGGAAACCCTGGGACTGGAACGTATACTTTGAGCCGAGGGCGTCTTGGGACCTGGGGATCGACAATAACGTGATTGTTATCATTTTTTTTAATTAAAAAAAATTGATCTCTACCCATACCTATAACAAGATTCTTTAGTTTTTAGTAGAAGCACGAAGCAAAAATGTGCGAAAAACATTTTTTATAATGTCCCCACAAGAAAGAGTTACGAGAACTAGCAATAACAATACCAACAAAAAAAAATTGTCAGTTTGTCAGTGCTTCTTTGTTATTGTTACTGAGGCTGTTTACATCATTGTCGTAATCACCCC